GTAGATCACACTCATAGTGATCCTCCTGTTTTCAGCCTCCCAAGTGCTGGGATTATAGGCACGCGCCACCACACCCAGTCTCAGTCCAAATCTCAGCGTGCCCTGGGGTCAGGGACGGCACAGCACACCAGGGCTTGAACCCCGGCTGCTGCACTCTGCCTAAGCAGCTGCTTTAGTCTGCTGAGGTATCAGGCCGGCTCTCTGAAAAGGAAATTTTTAAAAATTTAAGTCTGTGTTGTTACCTGGTGTATTGCTTTGTACGTAGGGATACATCTACTTACTGAATAGATGAAGTGCTGCTTTCAGCTACAGCTTTGGCCCCTGCCGAGCGCATAGCACAGGCAGCAGTCTCTGCCCTTCTCCTGCTGTGGTTGGCGCACACAGCACATGGCCGTGTCCACAGCACTGCCTGCTCTCAGCAGTCGCAGGCCTCCTAAGAGAAAATGGGGAACTGTCGCGCAACACCGTCCATTTTCCCCCCATTTTCCTCACCCTGCACACCTGTCCCTCCACCTCCAAAGCAGTGTTGGTGATTTTCACTTTTCCCAGTGACACTGCTGTCCTTGTTAATCACCTAAGTGTCACAGGCGAAACTCACTGCAACCCCTGGAACGGTGCTCTCTCGAGAGGTGGTGTGGTGGCTCCGGTCAGAATCTCAAAAGGAAAAGCAAAAAGGCAGGAAGTGTTCCATCCCATTAGTAATTAATGGTCATTTCCAGACAGTCCTGCCCCAGGCTGACATCAAACTCATGGCAGTCCCTCCTGCCTCAGCCCACCGACTGCTGAGATTACAGGTGTGGCCAGCACAAACAGCTATGATTTTCACTTTTGGAAACAATTCACTATAGATTTCCTTTAGATACGCTTAAGTGGGGCCAGTGAGATAGCTCGGCAATCTAAAGCACCTGCTTAGGCAAGCTTAGGCAGGCGCAGGGGACCACAGTTCGATCCCTGGTACCACATCCATGCCAGCCCAGCGCTCAGGGTGGGCTGAGCTGGCCAAAAACTAAAAATAAAAATACATATGCTTCAGCATTTTTTCATTTCTCTACAGCAGGAACTCGCCAGGACTATGTGAACAACTCTTTGGTATCTATTAAAAGTCATTTGTTCTCCATAGGATCTTAGGAACCCTTCAGTGGTCACTCTCACACCCACCACATTCAACGAACTGGTTAAACACAGGAAGCACGACGAGGTCTGGATGGTTGATTTCTATTCCCCGTGGTGTCACCCCTGTCAAGTCCTAATGCCAGAATGGAAAAGAATGGCACGGGTACAGTGAAGTCCTTTCTTTCATTTCTGACCACTTACTAAGGGATGAGTTTAGCAAACAGATGATTACTTAGCAGCCCTCATCGTACCATGAAGAGCCTACCTCAAAAAAAAAAAAAAAAGTCTACCTCACTTTCTGTCTGTTAATTCAGCTGGATAGCTTTGGCCTTTTTTGTGTGGCATCAAATTTGACTAAATTATTACTAGTATCAACCAAAAATCCCTTTATTTTTTTCTGCTGCTTTTTCTTCAGAATTTAAATATCATTTCATCACAGTACTATGAGAATTTAATGAAAAAAATAGTCTTGACCAGGGCCGGGGAGATAGGACAATAGCATAAGCACCTGCCTGACAAGCACAAGGTCCTGAGTTCAATCCTTGGTACCGCAAAAAAAAAGTCTTGATTAGCAAAATAGTTTTTACTTAGTAAAATAAGGCACAGTTAGAAATTATGAAAGAGTGGAAATCATTTAAATGCCAGAGTGAAAAATGCATTTAATATTCATTTCTAAGATAAAAAGGAAATTAAGTCAAGGTGATTTCTAGTGTCTTAATATTTAAGTTATTTAAAAAAATAAGACTAACATTTATACCCTTTCCAAGAAAATTTTGTAAGTGTGAGTAATCCTTACCTCTGTTGGAAAATTATTTAAAATATCATTGCAAAAAGCTTCATTAGTTTTTGGTTTTTAACACTAACTTTTAGAAACCAGAATACTTTTATTTCCCATGTAATAAATGAAGTATACTATCTATTCTGCAATAATTCTGTTATTATAGAATTAGGTTTCAAATTATTCAGTATTTTTAAAATGATCTGCTGTGGATTAATTGCTTATCCATTGTTGTTTGGGGATAGCATCAGGTAAATAATGACCATTTCACTCTGACCAGTTCTTTATTATAAACATCAGAAGCTCCAGAAGTCGTTTTATCTTAATCACTGATAAAACTATTGGTTTCCTCTTTTATAGACATTAACTGGACTGATCAGTGTGGGCAGTGTAGACTGCCAACAGTATCATTCTTTTTGTGCCCAAGAAAATGTTCAGAGATACCCTGAGATAAGATTTTTTCCCCAACGATCAAATAAAGGTTATCAGTACCAGTAAGTATTCTCTCACCTTGGAAGCAGTTTATTACAGTGACGTAATTATAGTTATTCTGACTAAAGGCTGAGCGTGTTGCTGAGCACTTCAGAAGATGAAGAGAATTGAACAGTGACCCCATTCAAGAAGTTAGATGCGAGAAAGAGCTGGCGTTAGCTATTCGAGTCACAGGCTGTGCTGTAGGGACCCCTGCGTTATTCTCCTGTCTTGGCGTTTGCTCTGAGGGAGGAAATTCTGCCTCTCCTACTATGACAGCAGGGCCATCCCAGCACTTAGACAACATTCCGGGGCCCCACGTGCTGAGGGCTGCCGCTGCCCGGGCCCGGGCTGTTTCCACAGCACGGCTTAGTTTCCCTGGCCTGAAGTGGAGGTGGAACGTGATGAGTGCTGCTGACGCAGTGAGGGTGGTTCACAGCGTTACGAAGCACCAGGCCTCAGCTGAGGACAGCGTGAGAAGCTGCGTTTTTGAGCTGGTGGCTGACATGACAGTCTTCAGAAAAGTGCTGGGAGTTTGACAGACAGTAATGACCTGAATGCAGGTTCAGAAACTGACTGGGAGATACGACTTTCCAAGTTCACCTAAATCTGCAGGAGATGTCCAGCAGGCAGCTAGACGTTTGGATTTACCTGGAGCAGGAAAAAGACAGAACTGGACTGAGCGTCCGGTGCCTCCGTACGTGTGCGAGGCCCTGGGTGCAGTATGCGGGCGCACGCACACGCACGCCATTCCGCAAAAGACAAAGTTGCAAGCATAGCGAAGTACGTTCAAACGTCATGCGGCCAGCATTTGAATTAAATATATCTAAGGGCTATATTAGGTGAAGTCAACTGATTTTTTAATGTACCACAAGATTGTTTTCTATACATACCCAATAATAGAAAATACTGTTTACAACCCAGTGTTTTGGTTTTTTCTTTCAGTAGTTACAATGGTTGGAATAGGGATGCTTACTCCCTAAGAATCTGGGGCCTAGGGTGAGTAACTAAAATATATATTTTCATTGTATAAAACAGATTAAAAGATACTTGCTTTTCTTTTGTCTTTAGTTAAGTTTTTTGTGGTTTAAGACTCTAGCATTTAAATTACTTACTAAAGGTTTCTACTTACCAAGACAGACACTGATATACCTGGGATCATTTCTGATTTAGTCTTGTGATACTACATTTTCATGTTTGCTTTGGTTTTGTATAGTGAAAATGATTTTTATGCCTTGCTACAGATTTTTACCTCAAGTGTCCACAGATTTGACACCACAGACTTTCAGTGAAAAAGTTTTACAAGGAAAAAATCACTGGGTAGTAGATTTCTATGCACCGTGGTGTGGACCATGCCAAAATTTTGCTCCAGAGTTTGAGCTCTTGGCTAGGGTAAGTCTTTTCTATCTGCTCAAATATAAGCTGTAGGCATATGCTCGTTTTAATAATTAGGTAAGTGAAGAATGTAACCTAATTCTGAAATATTTTTAAAACATATTACATTTGACTATAATCTTTACAGATTTGCTTTTTAAATGTTTTAGCTAACATCCTATTAATATTACCATCCCCTTAACAACGGAATTCAGATGTTTTCTGTTTCCCTCCTGTTTCCTTTCCACCACAAACCCTGCCTGCTGCCCTAGGCAGCCGCTAGCTCCTGCCACTTCTGCCTCCTGCATGCCTTTCGGAACTGTCTCTCTACCTCCACACCAGCCTCCTGGTCAAGCCCTTGTCACCTCACCTAGACCTCTGCTGCCGGTCTTCAGTGCCCTGGTGACCTTTCTAGAAACACTGCCTGCTCTGACTCATTAACATTTCTTTGTAAGCACTCACTGGCTTCGGGTCTCTGATTTGACCCTGTCTGCCTCTTCAGGCTGTTCAGTTTCTCTCTGCCCCTCACAGTCTGGCCATATTCTGGTTCTCTGAACACATATCTACATATGTGCTACTACCTCTCTCTAAAGTGCCCTGTGTTGCCCGGTGTGTTGGTCCATGCCTGTAATCTCAGGACTCAGGAGGCTGAGACAGAAGAGGATCATTGGAACTTAGAGACCAGCTTGGGCTACAAAGTAAGCTCAAGGCCAGCCTGAACTGTTTGCTAGACCCTGACTCAAAAAAGACCAAAATAAGTAAAATGTCCTGTCTTTACTTTGGCCATCTGGATTTTTTTTTCTTATACCACAAAGCACAGCTCCTTGCCACTGCATGGGTGACCTGTGTCCTTCTGGTGGACTCAGTGTCACCTTGCTGGTATACGCTTCCCCATCATTGTGCTTATACAGAGTGAGGTTCTTGCGGTCAGGTGCCATGTCCTACCTGTCACTGTACCCCCACTGCCTAAGTGAGTGCTTTTAAAGTTGAACTGAGTTGGCATGCTCTCTGCAGGCTAAATTTCGGTGCTGCTGTGTTCACAGGCCGCCTCTGGGTGACGTAGTCCAGATCCATAGCTTCCCTACCTAACTCTCAGAGTTCCTGTCGTTGGCAGACATAGCACTGCCCAGAGAGGGAAGTTTGGCTCTCCAGTGCGAAGCAGCTTAGCAGCCCAAACCACAGGAAGATGGTTTCAGCAGGGGAATTTTTTTTTTTTTTTAATACAGGGTCTCTCTGTGCAGTTCAGACTTGTAGTGATCATCCCGTCTCAGCCTCCCTAATGGTGGGATTATAGGCATGCCCCACCATGTGTGGTTGCGGGGCCAGCACAGCATGAACTCGGGTCCTTGTGCTTGCCAGGCACGCACTTATGCTGCCAATCTATCTCCCCAACCCCAGGGGGGGATTTTTTTTAAATGCTTCTACAAGCAGTAAATGATTTTAGTTATGAGTGGTCCTTCAGATAAGAGGTTATTCATACCTGCTTACATTTCCCTCCGCTTCTTTCCTGACACTGTTTTATGCCTGCCTTCTTCCTGGATTAAGAAGCTAACATAGTTACCAACTTTGTGGTACAACTGCATTTTAATTACAGCAGAAAATTATTACACATGAGAAGAATCATTCACTGAGCAAATCCATCTAAGCAAATCAAGCAAAGACATCTGTTAGGTACTAGGGCTACAAAATCTGCTTCAAGCCAGGAAATTTCTTACCCAGAGGAAAGGCGTGAGGCAAGTAAATGACACGGTCAGATAACTGCACCCGTGCAAGTGAAGCAGCCAGAACTTGGGCAGGGAATGGTCAGGAGTCGTTCTAGGGAAAGAAAAAAGGTTTCACAGAAAGTTGATGTCTGAGACAAGAACCACAGCATGACCAGAAGTTTAGCTCTTGAAAGGATTGGCCAGAGAGCCCTCAACAGAGAAGACAACATCCACTAACACAAAGAAACAAGAGGGCAGGGCCTTTCCGGGTTCTCCGCTGCTAGTCCATTATCACTATCGTTACTGCGCGTGCGTGTGTGTGTGCGTGCATGGGGGGAGGGGGGGCACGGCACGAAGTGGAACTCACAAAGCAGGCCAGGAGGAAAGCTCTTCTTGTTGGCACATACTGTTCAGAGTGTGTTCTTCATAAGCTCGAGAACTGCTGCCTGTGGCACCCTTTTCCACATTAGAAAGATCACATTATTGGCCTGCACCAGGAGCGCAGAAGGCTATTGAGAGCACCAGAAATAATTATGTTACCAGGAGTAATTGAATATACAAGTAAGCTGGCAAGTAAACATTATGTAAATCACATAGAAACTTAACTAAAAAGCATATTTCTAGGTTTTTCTGTCTATAATAGTGTTCATTTGGGGCCTGGCAATAGCTCAGTTCTTTAAGTGGCTGCTTCCACAAAGCTGTCAGCCTCAGCTTGCTGTAGTTCGATTCCCACAACACTCCAGCCAGCCAAACCATGGCTGATGGCATTCAGAGCAAAAAAAAAAAAAATAGTGTTTGTTTGTGTACAGCTTTCTCCCATGGTTTTGCTGATTCCCTAACACAGGCCATTCTGCCTGTTTGTATATCCCAGTAGGCTTGGCATTCAGACTAGAGGGAACAGAGAGGTTTTTTGGTGGGTTTTTTTTTTTCCTGAACTGCGGATTGAACTCAGACCCTTGCACTTCCCAGGCAAACATTTATCCTACTGAGCCATCTCCCTGGCCCTAACCCAGGTATTCTGATTGTCCTGAAGAGATAACCTGCACCAGGATTAGGGCAGTACTGATTTACGAATAAATAACACAGTGGTATAAGAATGATAAAAAGTATAGTAGATGGAGGAGGGACAGATGCAAAAGAAAGAGAAGAAATGATTTCATGTTGTTGGTACATGAAGGAGGAACCTGAGATACCCCTAGTACTTGACTTGAACTCAGTGCATACGGGGCACAAAGAAGAGTGAATTAAGGAGAAAGGATTAGTGTTAGAAGCATCATGTTTGGCCTGTTTGAAGCATTTACATAAAGCAAACCAGTAACTAGTTGAATATAAAGTCAGGATTAGAAATTGAAGTTCAAGGGGCTGAGATAGCTCAGTGGCATAAGCGCCTGCCTGGCAAGCGCAAGGTCCAAAGTTTGATTCCTGGTACCACCAAAAGAAAGAAAGAAAAATGGAGGTTCAAGATTATTCACTGTGAAAAGGCTGCTACCCATTGGTGGAACTCTGGCTATTAAAACCAGAGAAAAGAAGGATGTAGTGGTTAGCTTTCTCATTGCTGCATACCTGACACCCACACCGAGGGTAGGAGACCTTTCATTTGGCTCATAGTTGGATTATGCACATGGTAAGCTGGCTGCACGTCAGTGGCGTGGCAGAAGGGAGTTGAAAAGACAAACTCATGGTGCCAGCAAGCAGAACAGGGCAGTGCTGCCCGAGAGGAAGGGCAAGGGACCAGACAGACCAAGGCCACACCTCTGTGACCCACCCAGAATTGTCCTCCGCCAGTCCCCCAGATGATACCAGAGTTGGTCAGGTTGGCGCTCCACCCTCACCCCCACAGTGGATCTCCCCAAGCTGAAAAAGGGAACAGCAGGAAAACCGACATATGCCAAGAAAGAAAATAGAACAAACACAGTGGCCAAGTATCGAGGGCTCATTAAGAAGGAAAAATGTTTTAAAATATATTGTAATTCTTAAATGTTTTTTCATCATATTCTGTAGGGACTTAAAGTTCAACATATCAAT